ATCCGATCAGTAGTAGTGTTGGAGGCGGAGAGCTGGTGATGTAGGTCAGAGTTTCTTTAAGACATCCTGAATTGGAGTAGTTACAAAGAGCATGAAAGTGGGTGGAGTCGGAGTGAAACCATGTAGTGTGAGTTAAGGAAAACAGGGAAAACTGCTGGGACCTTTCTGGCAGAGATCGGAGATTCAGAATCATATTGGGACCGTGATTATTACCTTAATGCATAAATAATATTAATACTAGAGAACTCATAATAATTCCTTATATTGACACATTGACTGTTTCTTATGTATTTTTGTTTGTAAAGAGCCCTACATGTAATTAGTTTTTTACTTTTATAAGCAGTATTACTTGTAGACAGTTCTTTGCCCATTGCAGAAAGAAAATCTTTTTTTTTTACTAATGTAACTGGACTATTTGATCTTGGCTTTAAGGAGTTATTGGTAATTGTAGTACTGAGTAGAAGCAATCACTAACAGAAATATGGTGTCTATCTTGCAACATGTTACCATCTACGGATTTGTCACTTAAAGCTTGGAATATGAAGAGGTAGTGAATCTGAGTGCGAAATTAGACATACAGTGAAAACAGCTTAGTAATACATTACAGGTAAGATTTACTGATGTTGGGCTTTAAAAAAAACAGTGTGAAGAAATTTGATTAGAACACAGTTTATCAAAATGCATAAATCTATTCCCTTTTCTTTTTTTTTCTTCTTTCAGTGAAGTAGCATTCGGATACAAAGGCCTTCAGATCCAGTTGTACTACACTGCTGGGAACCTGAATACACTGTTTAAAATCAAGTACACAGCAAAGGTCACTGAAAAGTTTGACTGTGTGGAGGTAATTCTGTTACTACAGTTGAATTCAAAGAAATGTTTTATTGACTTGCCCGTGTTTCCATTACTGCTGTGCTCACCCAATTTTCGAATGGGGCAGTTGTGTGTTTTTTAGTTCTGGGGTCAGGTTCTGAACCTCACACATGAGAGAAAGAGGAGGTGAGGGCAGACTCCACTTACCCCTCCCCTGTGTCTTTTAACACATTGCTCACCCACCGCAGGCCTGTAGGGGTCGCTGTGTCACCGAGAGCCCAGAAAGCCCAAGCAGACTTAACCCATCCTACTTTTGCACAATTGGCTAAACGCCCCATTTTAGGGAATCCCAGTTAAAAGGGAACTGCAGTGCTATTTTTTTTTATATTTTGGGGTGAGAAAGAATCGGCACTGATGAGTACATTTCAAAACACAATAAAAGTATAATGTTCACTGTATCTTGTAAAACCTCCAGTTTACGTCACACAGTAGAGCAAATTACCAGGTATGGGCTGCACCATATTCTGAAATTCAGAACAAGGCAACCAAACGTCTGCCGACGTGTTGCGGCCTGATTACATTGTAGACAAGCAAGCTTGTGAATACATCTCTCTTAATGCAATAGAAATATGGCTCTTGATTTTAAGACTGATTGGCCGACAAATACTACTTACTTTTTAATTCTGCAAGCAGATCATGTTGGAAAATGTCTGCGGTGAAATATCTGCTGCTCAGCCTGTACTTATTCGCTCGTAAGTCACATGACATTAGTCATTACAGGGACTAGTGAGCAGGAAGGGCCGCTTCACATCGCAATTGGAGGGAACTTGCTCTCTCACCTGTGGCAAGGCAAGGGGTTTGCAACAGCGTGGTGACTTGAAGTATTCTCACTAAGTTCCCGATTTTGAGCTTAATTTGGAATTTGTAAATAGTTCAGTCTCATATAATGTGTAAATTACTCATCATTTTCAGTGACTCCATTCCGTTCTGCTGGTCTTCAGATGTGTAAAAGTAAAATGTGCCAGACAAATGTTTTTATACCATCAGTGGATTTTTTCTGCAACTGAGATTTAATAACGGGACTGAGAAATTGGGACTGCAGTTCCGCTTTAAGTCGAACCCACGACACCTGAACTTTGTTTGCCTGAAAACAACCAAAACTGAAATAATCATTTGCATCTTTCCGAATTAAACAATCTCCATCTTTTAAGCTCCGACAATGGATTCTTTTAGACTTTAAAAGCCTGACATGTTACTTTCAGAAATACATTTGCTGTTGGAAAATCTGCGCCATAAACAACATATTTTGCTCTAGCTATTTATTATTTGGAATTGTATCTCAAAAAATGTTTGCATGTAGGTGAACCAGTTCTCGCTTTTTAAAAACCACTTTACCATGCTCAGTATAAAACAGTCATCATCTCGAATGACTCCATTCCATACTGCTGGTCATCATGTGTAAAAGTAAAATGTGTCAGACAAATGTTTTTTAGCCCAGCCAACTGTATTTCTTAAATGATTAACCGGGAGTTTTTTTAGAAACCTATCAGATGCTGTACGGTTTGCATTTTCAATTTGGAATAGTGCGTTTATGTTGACGTATTTTTTTATTTCCCGGCCTCTTATTCCTCGTAGCAATTACATTTAAATCTGAATCTAAAAACCCCAGAATTTATGCGGGTGTTGCTATAGAAGAGGAATGCTTTGCATCGCAGATTGCAATGCAAACTGGTTTCGGGGCAATCTGTAAACCAAAGCATTTTTTCTTTGGTGGTTTTGTTGTAGTTGTCCACTGTGTACTGTACTGTATTTTTGAGAACTGCAGAGCTGCTACTTTTTGGCAGGGGTGCTACATCGCCATCAGAGTGGAATAAAAGCAGCAGCTGACAATGCTGATTTTTAATTGTTTTCTGAACATTGGCGGACTTCTCCATAATCTCTTTCCGAGCGTCCCTGCCGGTGCCGCAGGAGTGTGAGGGCCCCGAGTCATTGCTGAACTCCGCACCTCCGGAGATTGATATGCAGCAGAGATGCAAAGCACCACGAGCCGTAACAGGCTAATCTCAGTCTGGCTTCTGTTTGAGGCGAACGTTAATCTTCCTTCTCAAAGGGAAGTGCTTTTCACTTTTCAGATAGGGGGTCCAAGATTAAACTTTCAATTGAGTGGCTCCACAAAGCAGTCAGCACGAACTGGAATTCTCTGTATGTCTAAAGAGACCACCGGTGTGTCATGTTGGAGTACTCCGCATTTCTTGCGGTTAGAAATTAGCTGTTGGAACAAATCTGGGCTTTATTTCCAGGGAGCCTTAGGAAACCCATCTCCCTTCATAATACTTGAACACATCCTTATCATTTTGAGAGACTGAACTATTCGTTATGTGAATCTGTCAGATAAAATGATTGGCTTTTGTGTTGATTTACATTGCAGTGCACCATAAAATGTTTTTTTCTGTGACCACACCACCTTTAAAAACTTCCCTGCCATTTCTCATGGTGTTATTTAAGTACTAATTGTTTTACAATTTTGGAGTAAATGTTGCACTTTCAGACTATGGCCATGAATTACTTGTAGTAATCTAAATTAAAATGTTTGGTTACATGCTAATGGATTACTGTCCAAAGGTCAGAAAAGCAAAAGATCTAAAGAGCTAGATTTATAGTGTATGTGAAATACCCTAAAGCTCAGTACATTTGTTAGCTGTTTTTTTTTGGTGCAGATTAGACTTTTATGAGTGTTTCAGTCTTCTCCTCTTGGACGTGTAATAATGGGACTATGGGGGAAAGAAAAACGTACAAGTGTTGAGCTTTTAATCAGCGAAAGAGTGTTGTTGACAGCCCTCTTATCGAAAGTGAGCGCACACCCTCCCCCTGACTCCTGTCAAGGTTAATTTTTGGTCTTTGAAGATGAAAACTGTACTTTTAGGTATGTGGGGGGGGAAAAACAAACTAAAACTGTCCGTTGACCCAGATGGGTGTTTTGATTTGGGTTTGGGGATTTTTGTGTCTTGACACAATACCATGTGCTCCAGTGTGTGCCTGTTGTATGTGCGCACTGCCACTGACTTGAATACAGCTGGCGCGATGGAGTTGGGAATGTAGAGCAATAGGACAGAGTTCACAGTGCAGCTGCCTCTCTAATGGGATGCAGAGGGGAGGCTCCTACTAGAGATCACCTTTCCCCAGAAGAAGCAAATGTTTTAATAATGGAGTTCAGTTTTAGTGTGTGCGGATTTGTGCTTTTGTGTTCCCCGTTTAGCGCACACAGGAGATTAAGTGGTGGTTACAAACAAGCTGCAGTCCCCATACCAGGTGAAATAGAAAAGCAGATCCTTTTGTGAGGTGTCGATTTTTGATTTTGCTGGGCAATTTTTTTTTCCTCGCGGTGTCTTTGATCGGTGTAGAGGACGGAGGTGTGGATCATAACTTCAGCGGCCGAGATCGAAAATGACTGTTCACTTGGGAGTTTTTTTTCCCCTCTTTTAGAAAGGAGTAAACCCTGAAATGCAGTATCTACACACTCGTAAGGAAGAAAAAAAGTACCCACTTAAATGTGACATAGCCAAGCATATGAAACTAAAATGGTTGCATTTGGCAGTCAATAAAAATCTTAATTTTATTTGCTGGTTAATTTTAATTTATGAGACTTTACTTCAAGTAACAGTTTATAATTTACAGGCAAAGTGAATACAGTTTAGGCCTGTAAATACCTCTAAATCTGAATGGCTGTGCATTTTAATGTCTGTTGTTAAACTGTAAGTCTGTTTCTTTATTATTTGAAAAGGTGATCTTCCAACAATCCATTAATATACAGAATAGAACAAATAGACTTTTAAATTTAAAGATGTTGCTTTCACAGATGCACTTATTAACTATTCTAATAGTTTTTGTTCCAAAGATAAAATATATTAGGACAGGCACAAAAAGCCCTAGAAGAGCATTGTTAAGCTATATCTAAACTAAGTAATGGCTCCTTTTAAGCTCGAGAACAATTTGTAAGTGGTACATGGGCAGAACATTGACAATATAACTTGTTTGTCCTTGGCCTCTATTTATAGTCCTTATTCCTCAAAAATGCAGTTGAACAATAATAATGGTAAAGTGCTATTCATCTGCAGGTGCATTACATCCACTTAGATATGAGGTGATGGCTGAAAAGAGAGGAATTAGTAGCATGTTGTATTAGCCTTTTGTAGTGCATTTTGTTCAGGGCTTCTTAATTTCCCTGTTTTGAATGCTGAACAGCAAGAGTCTTGGTATAGAACTAATGGCCATCATGCATGTAAATGGTGTGAAAGAGCTGCTTAGCAAGTTAATACAAAGTGTTCTTATGTCAATCTTTGTGGAAATGGATACAATACAAACATTACAGCTGAACTAACTACAAATTCTACTGAGTAAAATCCAGGGCTTATTGTCCCTAAATCTTTGATTTGGGGGCAAGTTAATTTTATTGAGTTCACTGGCAGGCTTAGAGAGGGGCTCATATTGGTGTACAGGGTTTTGTTAAGTCGAGATCAATTCATTAAATTTTATTGCCTGGTGAGAAGCAGAAATACATTATTGTGGAACTTCATCAAATATTCATGGTTTAAGATAAGTAGTAAATGTATTCAATTAAGCGGTCTTTCAATCGAGTATAAAAAAGGGAATTTCAGGTCTGCTCAGCTGACAGCCTTGAATGCTTAATGGTTTTCCTTTCTGTGATACAAAAATGTGTATTCTTTCCTTTTAATTCCACATGGTCTTTGTTAATCAGGAATGAAGCATTTCCTAATGAAAGAACAATGCAAGCTTATTTTATTATGTTTCTTTATTGATTGTGTGATAGAAAAGATCTTAGTTCAAAAAAATTAACTCGCCTCTACATAATTTTAATTAGACATCTGATTACCATAAAATCACCCTTTTTTTGTCCTGTCAAAATATATCGAGCAATTGCAAGCAGATGCTGTCTGTGAACTGTATATTTAGACTGTGCTGATATTTCTGATTATTTTAAGGTGAAATGTATTTAAATGCTTATAAACACTTGTGGTGCATTTTGGTTATTTTGTGTTTTTGGTGTTGGGTGACAAGACGGTGCCAAGGTTTAAAAAAAAACACATTGATTTGCCTCTAGGTGACTCAAATGAATCTGGGGTTCTTCTTGTACCTTTGAATATGCTTTAAAAGCAATAAAAGTTATGCCTTCATATTCAAGGAGTTTATTCAACCCATTTAGGCTTATTTTTAGGCATTTTCTCCTGTTAGGTTTTTTAAGCTTGAGCAAAAAATGCAAAAATCTTCAGATAAAAAAAACTCCAAAATATATCAGTACTAATCCGTGAGCACTTTAATGCATTCATAAATATAGTTATTGAATCTAAGAATGAAATGCATATTGGCAGTCAGAGGCTTTGTGGTAAGGAGTTGGACGATATTAAAAGATTAATTTTTAATGACATTGAATTAGGATGCTTGTCTTGGTCTAGAGTTTTCTCTGCTCTCCATATTTAATTTTCATGGGTTTCATGTTCTTCGGTTTTGGTTTGGCATTTAAATGACTGTTCTCCAAAATCTCGTCATTTAAATAGTATCTCAAAAAACCACAGAAAGATAATTAGTTTTCCTGTTATACTGGTGTTTTTTTTTGCTGAAAATACAACTTCTTCTTATGGGTCATTGCTTAGCAGGTCATTCTTGAATTAAAAATGAAATGTGAAAGCATACCATTTTAACCGTTTCCTATTTTACGCTTGTTTACAGTGCTGATAGCAGACCGATTTTGGTATCAAAACATTGGCAGTTTAATCCAAGTGGCTATGTGTGATAAAAACAATTACAGCAAGAGCAATTGACTGGAGGATATGTGATCCCACTTCAGGAATTCCAAGCACAAGCAGTTGTAGTTTATACTGAATACAAGTACTGGGAAATACAGTCCAACACAGTCAGCCTTTAAAAAAACAACTTTTAATGGATGTTCATAGCAGACTAATTTGAATCTTATTCATTGCTGGTATTTATATACATGTGGCAATCTTCTATTAAAATTGTAGCCTTTTTTGTTAAAGGTAACCCATATTCCACATGGATCTCTACTTTTAAGTACAAAAAGTAACCTGTTAGCTTCATGGTAATATTACCTGAAACAGGTGATGTTAATGATGAGAAGCTCCTCACAGTAAGTCAGTTAGATTTAACTGGTGAATGTGATGGTTTGTTTGCTATAACAATATATTTTTTATTATTACTTATGTGTAGTGTACAGTACCTACCTTGAGTTGTTGTGATAGGGTTTTATGATCGGTGTTAATTCAGGTTAACAGGCTTGCTTTTTTCTCATCCAAACCAAACTGTATTTGTAACACTCAAAATCAAAAGTTGTGGTAAGAATCGAAAGCACTAATTGTCATGATATACAAGTACTTCAGCTCCAAATTCTAAGATAGGTAATACTTTATGCATTGCGACGTAAAGTTCATGGACGAAAAATGGAAGTGTTTACTCCAGTATTGTGATATCTGTGCATTCCAAGGCAAAACAGGCAAGCACAGGCAGATCAATTGTCTGCGGATTTGCAGCCTCGGATGCGAACAGCCAGTTTCCTCAAAAGTGGTCTGCAAAGAGCTCTGCATGGTTGGGTTGCAGTGCGGTGCTCATCAACCCTGGCAATGGAAGTTTGTGAGACCAGTGGTGCAAAGAGCACAGGCAATGAATGGGCTGATGCATCTGTGAAGTTGCAGGGGGCTTTTTCCTGGCATGGTTTGGGCACACTCACTCCCTAAGAAGGCAAGGTCAGTGTTAATTGTACTTAGTGATCATCTTCACCCCATCTTGCAGCATTTCTTTCATGCCAGAAGGGTTGCCGATAATGCCCCTATGTTTGATGAGCGTGACACTGATGGTATCCAGATATGGTATTCACATGTCATGGCTTTCCTGGCCACCAGATCTGATTCCTAAAATAAATATCATTGACAGGACATTCTGAACAATGCCTGAGATGACGTTTTCCACCTCACCTCTGTTAATTGTACAGTATTTAGTGAGTTTGCATTGGGGTGTCCATTTTTATTTAATCCACTAACTGTATGTGTACAGAGCTTAATGCAGCTACAAGTTGGAATGCATTTGTTTCAATGTGCTATATTCCCGGAGTCAAAATCTGGGAAGGGGAATAAATCTGTGTAACAGGGTTGCTTCAATATGTGAAATTAATGTTTTATAGGAAAACATATTTCAACATAGTGGTACTAAGTTTCTGATAATGTGAAGGTCATTGATTATGACCTGCACCATGTATAACTGTTTCCCCAATCAGCTAATAGAGACCAACTCACTGCTTAAACGATCTATCTGATATAATACCCCATCAAAAAGGTTAAGCGATACTGGTAACGGGTTATGGCATATTTAATTTTTTTAATGGACATTGTGCATCTTAACGGTGGATTTCACAGCTTTGTACTGGCAAGAGTAAAAACCCCGCTCTTTGTGCGTGTGTTTTCCATCAGCCTGACGACGTTGAAGGTAAAATCCGAGAAGTGATCCCTGCCGGATTCTGTAGCAACACGGACGACTTTCTTGCTTTGTTGGAAAAAGAAGCTAATTTCAAGCCTTTTGGGACTCTGCTTCACACATACAATGTGCACAATGAAGAGGCAGGTGAAGATATTACCTATCAGATCTACAAGGTAAGTGTCTCATCTCGCTCTCCAGCTTTGTGTAGGGAAGAGGGGGATCTCTCACAATACCGTTTTTGTATCAAACGGATCTGTATGAGTTTGTTCTGGTTTTGCCTCCCTCCCCCCCTCGCCTCGTTTTGTCTTGCAGCGGTGTAGTCCAGCTGCGACGATCCGAGGGTCCCTTTCTTATGGGATGCAATTGTTGCCACACTAAACGTGTGCGATCATAGACCCGAGAGAGGTGGCCCTGGGCTCTTTCCCACCGGGAGAGTCTGGGTTTATTCAGCAGCCCTTGTAAGTGATAACTGAGCCACTTTACTTGTCTGCCCCCCCCACCTCCAATAGGCTGACATGTCCTGCCCTGGCTTTCGAGAGTATCACGAGAGGCTTCAGACCTTCTTGATGTGGTTCATTGAAACGGCCAGCTTCATCGACGTGGACGATGAGAGATGGGACTACTTTCTTATGTGAGTGCAGCCCTTCAGCAACATTTAGACCGTATTGTCTCAATAAACCCAACGACTTCCTTTGTGGTTTCGCCAGTTACCAGGCCAGTTTAATGATATTTTTCCCAGGGAAGGCAGTCATTGTTTATCGGGGGCCGAGGAGTTTTTTTTTTTTTCCCCTCTCCCTTTGTGCCTCAGAAGACTTTTTTTTTTCATAGAGCTTGAGTTGAATTGAATACTTTTGTCTTTTGAAACGTTGAATGTAAGGGCTGAAATAGTAAAATGAGCTCTGCCCGTGTTTTCTTTGGCTTGTCACCTATTCATCCTAACAATAGGCAAATGGACTGAAGTGAAGTAAAGAGGCCTGATTTTTTTTTTTCTAGAGTTGCTGTGCACCAATTAAGTGAATTGTACATTCAGAACGTAGCAGGTGTACCAATTGCGCCAGCTTGATGCAGCATGCTGACACTGAAATCTCGGCCAGAGAATGGAGGGAAAATGGAAGCCGCATGGGAGTGTGGCTGTAATTGACCTGCTTGCCTGTGTGTTTTATCTGCAGATTTGAGAAGTATAATAAGGATGGGGAGACACTCTTCGCAACTGTTGGCTACATGACAGTCTATAATTACTATGTGTACCCAGACAAAACCCGGCCACGTGTAAGGTAATTGGTAGTATAGCACGTGCCTCTCCTTTATTGGGGCACACAAAAAGAAAATTACACATTTCCTCCTCTTTTTTTTTTTCCTGTTGTCCTAAATTACTGGCTTAACTAACTAACCAACCAAACTCACTTTGTCATCAGATGGAAGCAAGTGGTCAGAAATCTGAAAAGAAAATAATGGCTAAAACATGGAGTCAGTTACCTCTTTTATTTCACCTTTCCTTTTTACGGTGTGGCACGGTTTCGTTTGAAGGGTGTGGGTTGTTCATTTAACCCCGTTTCTGAAAATTGGTTGTGTTCAGTCTTGAGTACTTCTTTTTTTTATCCTTCCTCACACAGGAGGTAATTTGCACTCTTGTTCTTCGATAATAATCATGACTGTAAATGTTTTCTATATTTATTTATATATTTATATAAAATAGAGCAGCACGTAAATCAGCTTCTTTACCCACCGACAGAAAATAAGGGAGGTTTTCTAAATCCACCATCATATACTGGACGATTTTATTTCAAGTCAAAGATGACAAGTTAAGCTTTCTCCTGTTAAATGCTTAATAGCCAAAGTGAGTTTGAGAATTCCATATGGCGTGTAAACGTCGAATCACCAAAGACAAAGTGTTTGTTCAAAATAATTTTTAGTTTTTTGCTTAGCTCGTCGTACCAATCTTAACCAGCCTCTCTCAGTTTTGTCTTGGAAACGTTTCATGTATTCACATTAAAATAACTCAAATCTGCTTTGCTGGGCTCGAAAGGTCGGTTCTTGCATCTAACACGATGCTTTGATATCTTTGTTTCCATTCAGCCAGATGCTGATCCTCCCCTCATTTCAAGGAGAGGGTCACGGTGCTCAGCTGCTCGAAGCTGTCCACAGGTTTTATTGCACAATTCCTGAGGTTTTGGACATTACTGGTACGTGGTTGTTCATTACATTTTGTACCGACTAATAAGGTTCTAAGCACTTGAAAAAACGAAACTTTCCAAGTGATCAGGACACTGAAATCAAGCAGTTAAATATGTATATTAAATAAGTTTAATTAAAATATGAATTCCTTTCATTTTAAATTCCCTTTTTAAAGGATCTCAATCCTTGTTGTAAAGTGTTGAAGGATGTCTTCGTAAAAAAATGGCCGCGAATGGAGGATTTTACAGCAAATGCATATTTTACTACTGGCCCTTGGTTTTGTGAGCCCCATACATGAAGGAGGGGCACTAGCAGAAGTTGCTTTAAATGTTGTAACAACATAAGCAATTTAATAACGCTTGTTTAATGGTTTTCAACATGTCTTCAAGTTTATACCAATGTCTAAAGCAGTTAGAGTGTTGCTGTGTTCTCAGATAATTCCTTTAATTTCAAACAACTGAAGAAACTGTCAGTGATCCCTCTGAAGGAGGAGTGACAGTATCCCCCTTAGGGGTATTGTTGATACTAAATTGAAGCCCTCTTTTTTGTGTAAAGAAGGCAGTTTTGTGCTGACTTCCTCGACACAGGGCCAAATTGAGTCCGGATGTATGTAAATTGCAAGTAGGTTTAACAGAAATCTGTTCGCCACATGCTGCACAATCATTTTCAAACAACGGCATAATTATTTTCCTGTTTCAGGGCAGCCATAACTTGGATTACATCTGAAAGTGAAACACTAAGCTTTTTTTGTGATGGTGTGTCATGAGTGTTTAGGTATCACGTTTAGTATAACAAAACATATACTTTTTGAACATGTCTGCATTCCTCTTATTTGTGCTGAACTGCCCTAACGATTGTGTTAAATTGTACAAATTGGAGTGCAAGATCTTGTGACCTAGCACAGTGGGATAACCCCATTTTTTATCATTTCAGCGGAAGATCCGTCTGAGAGTTACATCAGGCTGAGAGACTTTGTCCTGTTAAAACTGTGCCAAGCACTGCCATCCTTTTCCACAGAACATTTAGCTCAAGGCTTCAGTCAGGAAATGGCAACAGAGGCACAGGAAAAGCTAAAGATAAACAAGGTAAATTTGAAAACTGAAAGTTGTCTTATGAGCTTGAAAGTGTCCTTACATAGCTACCTTGCTTACCAGTGCATTTGTCCTGTCTGTGAATCGAATTATTTGATATTTTCTCATTTTAGATGGTTTTATTATCACTGAGCTGTACCTGAATGTTACAAAGTTTTTCACAATTTCAGAATTGTAGTTCATAGGTATAGTTAACAGTTTCTTTCATGAAGAAACAGGACATGGATTAACATAATATTTTACCAGGGTAGTATGCCAGTTGAAGGCACAGTTTATGGTCACTTAGCCTACAGTTTATGTTCCCATTAATTTCCATTCATGACAGACATAGATCTTTAGGGCGTGCAAAGAAAACAGTCTCTGTTTATATTATTTGTCAAGGAGAAACAACTCTTCGTTCACAACAGCTTGACAGTTGTGTCGTGTTTTACAACGCTTGCTGTGTGCCGAGTTTTGGCAGCAGTTTGAACCTTTGCTGACATCACACTTGTTTTCGTACCGTTTCAACAACTGTTTGCTTTTTCACGTCCGGGCTCTGACACATGAAGTTCGGTGTGTGTGCCCAGGTCGCTAAATTTTGCCAGTGGGCTCACACGAAAACTGATTTTCATGATTTTCAGAAAGCAGTCTCTTGCACTGCATCTTTGATTAAAAAATTAAAGGTTGCAGGCGAATGTAGAATGCTTTTTTTCTAGTATATCTCTTAGCTGTTGGACACAGGTTGCACCTTTGGTTCTGCATTATCAAAGCCCGAGAGCCTTTAGCATGAAGTCGTAATGGCTAGGACTTTCACCACCACTATTTCAGAATTCCTGGGGATGCCTGCCCTCCTGTGCCTGTGTCTTCCCTCTGTGCAGTTCATCTTTTCCTCTGCCATAAATCTCAGCCTGACTTCAATCAATAAGTCGGGAATTGCCTGAACCTTCGTGCTGCAGAGGTATTTGAAATGCACTGATGAAAGTGGTGGCTTTTTTCCATTAGAAACATGCAAGGAGAGTGTATGAGATTATGCGCCTGAGAACAACAGACATGAGTGACCTGGAGAAGGCAAGAACATACAGATTGGAAATTAAAAGGAGGCTGATCGGCCCCTACAAGGTATGTGTGTTGGCAGAAGCCTTTTTAGCCCATGAAAAGTCCCCACCCCCCCATCTTCCCCCCTCAAAAAATATGTTTTTTCCACCTAATTATGAGCGGTCAAACTTGAATAAATTAGCATACAATTTAAGACCAAAAAGGGAAGGGATCATGCACTTTCTGTGTAATGTTAGAGTCAGGGTTGAATATGTTAACTGCTCCAGGGTTTACAACAGAGCTTTTTGTCATTAATTACTGTGTGATGTTGCACAGCCATTGAAAACGAGGTGCGTTCAAGAATTAAAACATTTTAAGTGATAAAGGAGGATTCAAGTTGTCCTGAAAGGAATGCATGAAACCGAACTCCCCGTTCGGCCTTGTTGTTCGTATTTCCAAAATTCTGAATGTGCCGTTCCAGGGCCGAAAGAGCATTTAGCCTATCTGAGGGGCATTGCGGTGTAATTTGCCCCAAATTGGGGACCTGAAGAAAAAAAGTGGAAGGTCCACATGTTCATGCATTGAAAAATGCAGACTTAAATTTTTCTTCAGCTTGTTTGACATTAACATTCTTTCCGATTAAGCGAGGTTTCCTGTATGCACTGCGCCACATGCAAGATGACATTTAGTTGATGAATGAAAAGCTGTGGCATTAAGCTGCATGGGTTAATTAGACCACAAGTAACGGTGAAAAGCCAGGATTTCCCTGCTTAACCCTGAGGATGTTGAAGATCCTTGTGCTTGTTCTTTTTTTTTTTCCCCCCAAAGACACACAGCCTATTATAAATTATCATTAGAATGTGCTGCCTGAATCTAGTTAATGAGGTACCCACAGCAGGGTTTGCATGTCTTTGTCTAGGCGTCTCTTTTCTCTCTCTGTCTGTCAAGTCCCAGAGAAATGCCGTTGTGTAGGCTTTTCCTGGCGGCTGCTGTAGGAAGGCAAGGGAAAAAGTTGTGTTTGGCAGGCAGTTATTTATGGCAGCTTAATGGCCGCATTTGCAAAAGAATTGATCTTGCGGACAGGTGTGTTGTCAAGGTGAAGGAAATCAACAAATAACAGATGCATAACGTTCAGGTTTTTAAATGAGAACTTAAATCTGGTTTTTGTTTTTCTTCACTTATTATAGATTCAAAATCACAGCAGTTGCATGTAGCAGATGCCTACTACCTCAACGTTGTTGGCTTACAGTAATTGTTATGGCAGGATATTTAGACAAGGAATACCAAGCTTTTTTCTGGACCGTTTATAGAAATAAGGCCTTATCAATGGTAATGCAATGCTTCATGCTGTATATCTGTGAAAATGTATGCAGTTCCCTAGGATTCAACTCCGTTTGATTCCCTTATCTGTAGGATTTGCATCTCATTCAGGAGAGTAATTTGAGGTGTGATGGCAACAATATGGGATCACAGTCATGTTTGTAACAGCAGTGCGGATGGTACTTCATAGTTGTCCAAACTTTAATTTACGGATAACACTGTGTGTTTTGGAAGTTTCATTAGCATTTTTGTGTTTTACAGGAAAATTGCTTTTTGGTAATGTTACAGAATACCAATTTACAGCTTTCCCACCACTGTGTGTTTACGTGTATGTTATACTGCATCTTTGATTTCTGTCGGTAAATACTCACAATTTTGTACGCGTGGATAAAGCCCAAATGAGGTCCTCCAAGGATCTTCAGTTAGGCCCACTGCAAAAGCTATTAAGTTTGATTCACAGCAACATAAAAACTTTTTGAGAATTGTTTTGAATGATTATTATTTGCTATTTATTATCATGTGTTATTGTGCTGTTCCTAAAACTATTCAGTGTCCTTAAATGAGAGGAGAGAAGTGAATTCCTAGATAGAAAAAACTAAGAGGAGGTTTCCTGTTTCCATCCTGGCATTTCATGGGTTGGGGGGAGCTTGCACCTGGAGTACTGCACCCAGATGCCCCATTAGACATGTCATTTGTTGACAGCAATTTAACTGCATTTTTTTAAGTTCCCTGGGAAAGTGGGAAGGAAAGATCTGGGTTCCAGATGGGCTCTTTAGTGTTGGAAACCGTTCTCCGGCGGAGCTTGAGGCAGTGTGAGATGGCAGTCGTTGGAAGCTGAGGAGAATTAGCCTTCATCCCTACCAGCACTCTCTGAGCGTACGCATTTATCTGGTTCACCCCCAAATGTGTCTGTGGTGCAAGTATTGTAGGGCATCTTGGTGTGCTGCCAAAGTCTGTGACCACTAACATACTGCCTCAATTACAGACGTTGGCATGAACCTTACAGGGTTTGGAATTCTGAAAATCGTCAACCAATGTCTGTCCTGAAACCAATGCATATGCTTCGGTATTACAGTGAAATATCATGGCTTTGTTCCTTCAGTGGCTTGGAGGTGACAGTACTGTACTGTGCTCGTTTGCTATACTACTGTTGCCACTGTTTTGGCCTTATTGGTAATGGAATCAACTAAAGAACAAATAGAATGGACTTTTAAATGTGACTTATAGGAAACTGTCTCATAAATAGAAATGAACAGACCTCTTTTTTTCCAGTGCAGTTGCTTGAATGCAAATTTTAGCAATTGCTCATCAATGAAACACGAAAATAATTGAGGAAAATATGTAAGCATGCTTTGTGAATGTGCAACATGGCCTGTTATGATCGTATTTGAAAGGTTAGCTCAACCTTTTTCTTTATATGGAATTTGATGGTTTTCTTGAGCCGTTTTAAGAGTACACGCACTAATCCTAATGCAGGATTGCATTGCACACAGTGCGTTTTTAAACCTTTATTTTTGTTATCTTGTTTTTCAAGGAGGTGGTGGTCAAACTGACATCCTGGCAGATTAGCAGTCAGAACATCTCAGCTGCCCATCATGAAGATGCCTTATTGTGATGGTGCATCAGTGTTTCTCCTAATAAGCGATTAATACTTGTGTATTGCTTGTTTATCATTAGAAAAACCAGAGGGAACTTGCCAAGATGAGGAGGTGTCTCAGGCCGGAGGAGTTGTGCAATCAGATGAGGCAAATGGACCTTCAGATGCAACACGAGGAGCTGGAGAAGAGCTACCAGGAGCTTCTGAGTGAATACAGACGAGTTATTGAACGGTTGGCTCAAGCCTGATTGCTGTGTTGTGTGCGAAATCAAATCAGAAATCACTTTCTCCTGGCTGTTGTTCATTTGTATATTTACAGCGGACATCCAGCTCCCTCTTGTTCTCATGTCTGGTATAATGTGATATTTCTTAATTGAATTGACTTACTGTTGTTTCAGTAATTCCAAAATGTAAGAGGAAAATATAGCTTCTGAAATGTGCTTAATGTAATGGTAGGATCTAAATAGTGTCTTGGGGTGACAATTTTCGGTATCTGTGTAGATTTTCAGCTGTTCTTCTCTTACTGAGAAATTCAAGGTTTGGAAGCACTTAATAAAAGTTTTGTACATTGCATAACAAAGCTTTGGATGTTCTTTTTTTTTTTTTTTCGGAGTGTAAACTTTACATTGTACGGGACAGACTAAAACACACTTAAGTATACAAAAAATATACCATATTTTTTAAATGCCCCTAAACCCCTCAACACTTCATTTTTCGATGCACTTCCACCGCTTCTGTTTCAGCTTTTGTCTTTCATATTTCACATTTGATGAAATGCAGGTGGTAATTAAATATCTGATCTGTGTTTGTGACTGGGGCTCATTAAGTTTCAGTGCAGCGCTTCACTACTGTCGACAAACTGGTGCCCCAGCCTCCATATCATCAACTGCTTGTTCTTCCTCCCAGCATTCAGACTTTTTAGCCATTCAGAGCTGGAATTGCCGAACGAGGTGCCAATTATTCTTAATTGTGCTTGTGTTCTTTTCAACTGGGGAACGAGGGCTAAGACGGTAATCATTGATTTCAAAGAGATACCATCAAAGCGGTCATATAGAAAAACACTATGGATATACTCCCGGTGTGCAGAGGTGAAAGGGCGCCGGCATTTGTGATGAGCAATTGGCTCCGGTACTGTTTGCGGTTAAACATTGGACATATTTTAATATCAATTATGAGAAAAGATAATAGTCTAAAAAGAAAATACATGTGCACGGTATTTTCAAGTACTTTTTCAAAATATTAATTGCATTAATTGGCTTAGATTATGTAAGTGTTAAATCAAACCTTTTCCACTTCGAATTAAAGCATTACATGCCTCACAACACCACTTTCATGTCTATTTCTACCCTTCCAAGATGGATTTTTCTCATGCATTGGTGGTAAAAGCCTCCTGAAATGCTCTCATTGGAACACAAAATCTGCTAATTTCTCTTCCACACTCCACGTCTGAAGTAATGTCTCAAGACAAATATGATGACAAAATGACTGGACTCTAAACTGTCGTTGAAATTCTGCATTCTTGGCGTTATTTACAGAAAATTGCCACATGGAAGCAAAACGCAAGAATATCAATCAATGCAATCAAATTTCTCTCCATGACTTCCTGGAGTGTTATCTATATTTCTGAAAGTAGGTGCTCATGTATATTACCAATTACTGTCAGTTTGTGCTGAGAAACCAATAAAGAAAACAGCATGCTCTGGTATCTGAGAAGTAATATTTTTCTGTGTGATGTTAAATGTTGCTTGATAAGTTACTTTTCACAGAATTAGCTAAGGATGGGTACAGTAAAACTACAGCAAAAATGGAGCTCTCATAATGCTTATTTTCTAGCATAGGTCCTGGAGTACCCCTGCCTTCTAGTTTTCTTTGCAACTGAGCTGTTTTTTCAAGGGTATTGAACCTTTATTTGAAGCATGTTCTGTTAAAATGCTTTCAGATCTTAAGTAGTTAAGTAGGATAGGATGTAGAACATAAGAAAGATTAGAGATAAAAGGCAATCATTTGGCACAGTCACTAAGTAATCCAATTTGATCTGCTAATTGATCTGTCACAGCCATTTCTTGAAGGAAGCCAAGATATTGTCTACAACAATCTCACTGGGTACCTTGTTCCAGACTCCCACAATGTTTTGTGTAAAGAATGAGGTTAATGTTTCACTTTTCATTTTAAAGAATGTGTAAGGTCATGTTTGTTAATTAATGCCTTTAAGGATTTGGAATGTTTGTATTCCTCCCCTCAGATTCCTTTAGTTAAAGACAAAAGTTTTACTTATTTTGGCCTGCCTGAGTAAAGACATTCTTTTACAACTGGCAATATATCAGGCATAGTTAAGACTGAGAACATAAAATTCAGGAGCATGCCATCTAGCTATATGATTGAAGCTGATATACTGTAGTAAAGCAGATTTTAAGAAATGGTTGTCTCAGATCCTAGTAAAACAAATTGATTTAGAAGGGGCCAAATGAAGTCCTATTTCATTTGTGATGCTTGGCTATAGTGTACATCTTAATCCCATCAAATGTTCTTTCAAGGGGTTTGCAGATTGTCCTATTTTGAAATCATCTACTAACTTAGTCCAGGTGGGAAGCTGCGTCAGCACGCGTAGGCTGCAAAGGAACAAGTAATAGGTTTATTCCATGCTGAAAAGAGAAGAAAGAAAACACAACGTTTCATCTGTGGAGCCTTCTTTGACAGGCTATCCAGAATCTCCATTATTATTAAGAAACACTAAAATAAGGGGTCCTAATGTATACTGTTTATTTCATTACCCGAGTATAAGGATTCACTCTTTACTGGCACTGTTTTCTGTTTTCTAACCAGTTTCTAATTCAATACATACAGTATATTTCCTTAATTGCTATTGGGTGCAGTTTGAGAATTCTTTAATGAGGGTCTTTATTAAAAGCCTACTGAAATTCTAAATATATTATAGTGTAGATACATATGATCTATATCCATATTATACCGTAGATTATACATTCTCTATATCCATTACGGATCTTGCCTTAAACAAAGACTTCAGCAAAGTCTAAATCCATTTTGACTTTCCTCTAGAATCCTATTGCCATACTGATGATATTTCAGTTAAATTCTAATTTCCAAAATGTAACTTTTAGTAAGCTCAGAACTTATTGGTCTATAATTACTTGGTTCTGGCAAATGTCCCTGCTTTCCCAGCAAAGTGTTTTGCTGAACATGTTGGGTTATGAATAACTATGTTATTTCAATAAAAGCAGTTGGTTGAATAACATAAGTCCCTGAAGATTTGATTAATTCTGGTATTTGTAACACTTTTGCCTTTTCTCTTATATTATTTAACTTTTTCCTTCTTCTGCTTGAGGCATGATGTTCATTTCTACTTTGTTAAGCATCTGAGTGAAGTTTGTTTACTCTTTAAGTGTTAGAAATGAGCATGACACCTCTGCTGGAAGCTAGGTTATAGAACTGCTCTCATTTAGGATCATTGTTTGAATTACTAGATGGAAATTAAGCAGTGAGTTTGTGGATCAATAAGAATGTTTTCTGGTGGGGTGTGCCTCATTGTCATTTCAGCTAAATCTTCAATTGATTGCTCATTAGGAACTGTTCAGAAACTATGCTAACTATGGTAGAGCACCAATTTTAAACCAAGCTGAAATAGAGATTTGTTTGGCACATGTTTTGGAATATACACTAATAGAAGACTAAAAGCAACTGGTTAAATTAAGAGATCAATAATTTTACTTTAAAACTAAGTTGGAACAAGAAACAAGGCACAGGGTTATCCTAGGACAAGGACTGGAATACATTATTCTACAATGATTTTCTGCACAAAGCACCATCCTTTCTGAAGCCATACTAATAGACTTAGTAGGTCTTTTAACAATAGGTAGAGCTTATTTTAATACCTTTACAAAAAGAACATTCTTAAATCAAGACTTGGAGTTAATTTGTACAACTGGTTGTTAACATCTGAAAGTAATTTGACCAATTCTTAATTGTCACTATGATTACTTTGTTAGATTATTTCCTTTGTAGACCTCAATTAGAATAAACGAGAACTCTCCATGGATTATTCATTGCTAAAGTTGTTCTGCCGTCCACTATTAAAAAGGGACAAATGGAAAATATGCCAGTTTAATGCATTTTGATAAGTGAAAGTTTATGAAATGTTAAATCTTTGCCCCTTTTTCTTGTTCTTTATACCTTAGAATTTACCATTACAGTACACATCCATCCTCTGATGTAAGGTTTTCATGAAATTGATGAGAGACAGTTCTTGGTTCTAAAACTGCAATGTTAAATGCTGCTCTGTGCAGTTCTAAGTTGGAAAGATATCTCGTTGAAAATAACTCCAGACCTGGTGAATTTGTAGAAAGGAAAACATGAACAAATTGAAAAAAAAAGATAAAATACTGTTGTGGTCAATAGACATTTAAAGTAGTCACGTGTACTTAACAGAACAGGAGTTCCTCATTTCACAGAACGGAGGATGCATTGTTGTTTTACAATGAAGGGTGCTGTAGATTGATGGGGTTATTTGTAGAAAACATGGCTAGCTTTTTCTAGTGAACATATTCACTAAAGAGACTGCAGTTTTTCTGTCAGCTTTATTTCTGTCTTGTGTTATTAACTCCCCTGACTACACTAGGGTTACATCCCTTTTAGGTTTTGTTCTGGAAAGGATCTTTATTTCCGCTACTCACTTTACATCCAAACCAAAATGCTCTCTGACGTACGGTAAGAGCATATGAGAGGTTGCAAAAGAGATCTTACTCTTTTATTAGTTTAGTAGCCAATCAATCTATAACTTCATCCAGCTGTCTCTAAGATTACTTCATCTGTTAGACCTCAACCACCTGACTGAGACGTCTGTTCCCAGATACCCACAACCCTTTGAGAAGAGAACCATTTCCCAGCCTCAGTCTCAGACCTGAACAAATTCCATTTTTCTTCTATTGTGTTCTTGCTTCACTGCTGAGTGTGAACTATTTCCCTGGACTGACCCACACTATACCTGTTAGGAGTCTATATATACTAAGCACCAAAGGAAACAGAACGCTTTATGCATGTATGATTTTTTTAACTAAGTACATGGATTTTTTATTAAGGTTTTTTGTATTCGTTTTGGTTAATTTATCAGGTATGAATGACTTTTGATGTTTTGATTCTGAGCCAAACATTTTTGATATAAGAACCCTGTCTGAAATCTCCCCACACCTCCAATCTCATCTATGATCACCCTACGGCGGAGAGTGAGGAGCTGTATGCAGACCCCTCCAAGCTGCCACACCTTCAAGCCAGTTGTCTATAAACACGTCACAGGCAGCACAGCTCTGTACCAGTAGCCATATCACTCTATGAATTGGCTTCATCACTCTGTTCTCCTCCCCACTGATAGCTGGTGTGTGGTGAGCGTACTGGCACACTATGGCTCCCGTCACATCATCCAGGTGGGGGCTACACATTGGTGGGGGTGGAGGGGAGTCCCCATTACCTGTAAAGCGCTTTGAGTGGAGTGTCCAGAAAAGCGCTATATAAGTGTAAGGAATTTTAATTATTAATTGGAGGAGATGTACCGGCAAGTTCCAAGGGGTCGCCGTGTGGTTGAGTGTCTTGTCCTACAGAACTCCACTTGGACTGATACAAGGCAATCTGACTTTGAGAGGTCCTGGGACTCCACCTAACTTTAACAGGACAACACACAGCCTCGTGCTGCTTGTGTAACCACGTTTTTCTTGCGATGCAAATGTGACAGTGATTCCACGGACCTTCAGATCTGAACTCCATCGAACATTTAGTGGGATGAGCAACGGAAGGCGTCCGGCATCCAGAGCCAAAAGGTCCATGGTCAGGAAGGAATCGGACATAATCCCACAAGACAGCATCTCCAACCTGGCGCAAAGCACGCATTGCAGATGTACAGCCCGCACTGCAACCAGCAGGCTACAGGCAGTGGCCGCACACAGCATTAGCCCGCGGCTTTCACAGTAGACCCCCTGTGGCGCAGCCCTGCTGATTACAATGTTAATCAGCTTAATGAGTTTGCCTCCAAGTCTGTTCAATAAAATGTCAGCACACCTGCCACTAAAAGATTGCCATATTCCTAATAATGTTAATTTCTTGCAGTTATAATTGATATGTTTATTTGGATACCCAATCTTCATGGATCAATCTCCTTTGTTCTAGACTGAAAGAATTTAGCTCCATTAACTTGTTGGTATATGAAATTTCCCCTGAGCCAAGGAATTATTCTTATAATAACACTCCTCTTTGAACCCTTTCTGAAGAAATACTATCCATTTTGGGGTGTGGTGAGCAAAACTGAACACAGTATTCTGATTGAGGTCTTCCTAGCATATTGTAAAGCATGAACATAAATTCCGAGGATTTAAATTACAGACTTATTGCTACAGTATATACCCAGGTATTCTGCTTGGTTTTTCTATGTCTGCCCAGATTATGATTTAATCTAAGTCTTTAAGTAAATTTCTCTGCTTGCTGCTCTTTCTGTTCATCACTCAACCTATTTTTGCATCATCATCATCTGCAAATTGATTAAACGAGTTTGCTAACCGCACCAGAATTTAAACTGTTGAATTGATCAGGAGTGCTGATCATGTCGATTGTTCTACAGAAGAAGTTGGTGACATTTGAAAGTTTCCTGGCATGAACAGATCACTTTAGGTGCTGGCTTAACATTCCAGTGGGGTTTAGGTTCAGACTTTGACTTAGCCTATCGAAAATATTAAGTTTATTCTTTAATCAATCTGTTGTAGTTCTGCTTGTATGTTTAAGATGACGGTCATGCTGCATGATCCACCTTCAGCTCACAGCTGGATGTCCTAAAATCTTTCTCCTGAATTTGCTGTCACAACATCTAATGTGACATTCCATCAATGATGGCAAACCCTCTCCTGACTGATGAGTATCACCTACTTTTTCCTAGGTCCTGTGAAATCTGTTTTGATCATGGCTGAACACGTTTCAACTAACCAAAGACACAATGTTCGTGACCATTATTTAGGTCAGGGCTGCCCAAACTCAGTCCTTGTTTACAAGCAGTGCACTTATTTAATCACCTGATTCTAATTACCCACTTACCTATGCTATTAACATAGGAGTTCACTTATTATTTTCCATACACTCTTTCTTTATTATTCCATTACTACCGCGTACACCATGGCATCTCTGGTAACGTTGAATTAATAAAAAATTGTATTTAAAAAAAATACTGGTTTTGATTAAACAAGGGTCTAATAATTCTCATAGTTATTCTGGGGATTCGCAATCCTTTTTTCAGTATTGTACATCCTTTGTACATCCTTGCGGTTTTATTCAACCAAAAGCTCTGATTATAAGCGATTGTTGATTATGTAAATCAGATCTAAAGGAGTTTCATTGTAACTTTATTGTTATAGTAAGGTATTCTGTAGAGAAGAAAGAACTGTGGAGCATTATTTCATTAGTCTTTAAATCAAAAAAGCTCTGCGGCTTATTCTGACAGAGATTTTAAAGCTTTGTTTTTACATTTTTGGTCTTGGTGTAGACCGCTGAACACAGACGCACTTGTGCAAAGAACTGCTGATCTCCTACCAGACTGAAAGACCACGTGATCAGCACTTTAAACCAACATGGCGGCGCCCTCTGCTTTGAAGTGTGTTGTGAAAAGAGGTAGGATTTCGTCCGGAAGGTCCCTTTTTACTCACAAAAAGCACGATTTTTTAAATATATTACTTTATATTTATTTCTTCATTTTTTCCGAATGCTTTGCTTAAAGCGCAGTATATATTTGTTTTCGATTCCATGTGAATTCCCTGTCGTGCTGAAACTTGTGTGATACAATTCTAGCTTTTTACTCTTCGTATGCATAACTTCTAACAGGGTTTTAATCCAAACAGAGTAGGACTCGTTGGATGTTAATAACAGACACAAAGAAGTAAAGGGACGCCAGTTTATCTAGGCATTATAGCACTGACTTTGTAGCTGTCTGGGTACTCATTCTGTGATCCATTACTTCTATGTACAGTAGGCATTCTGTGTGATAAGCACACAAAAAATAAAAACATATCACAATTGACTAATAAATATTTTTTAGACTGCACAATATTACCATTTGTTAATCTTTTGGGTAGGAATAAACCCCAGATGTGGTGTCTAACCCCTATAGATCTTTTGCTGGTGTGCCCCCAAAAGTAAAACAGATAATAAGTTTAAAAATAAGGGAAAAAAAAACAGAAGGTGGAAAAGCCCCTCTGAATGCTAAAACATGACCAAATACCCCAAGTTGAAATGTGAAAAAATATCAAGACCCCACCCCCAGAACACAAAAATACTAAGGACCTACTTGGAAAGCTAATCTGACCCTTCAGTGTAGAGTGGCCATATGTAGTGGCCTGTGATATAAAATAATGGGGTACAGAATAATAATAAATCCATGCTACTGTGCATCGTGACCCATTATATGAGACTGATACAATATTGCTATTTTGTGTGAGTCTGCATTTGTGATATAATTGCACAGAAATACCCCACACATTGGAATAACCACAAATGGTTATTGTTTCCACTATTAATATTTTTAATCTCAGCAATGAACATCATGAAATAGAAATGCTCTAGGGGTTTTTGTTATAATATAACTACAGGTTATCTAAAGAAGAGAAAATGATGGTAGTGTTGTGGGTTGTGCAGTTAATTACTGCTCAGTCTTATGTGAGGTTTAAAATTCTAGATTATGTCTTGTGTTGAGCTCCAGAATTTTGAAGATACCACTGGGAGGAAACTAATGTTGTGAGTAAGACTGACATTAAAAATCTTAATTAGAAGATCAGCATATTGAAATATTGATGTGAAATAGACAGCTTTTTCTGCTCAAGTCATAATCAGATGGCCGAATATGTTTTAGAGGGACCGAAGACTTAAACTACTTGAGAAGAAAAACCTATTGTGTGTCTACTGTGCTACTTTTGCAGAAAATCCTATCAACACAACAATAAGGAAATGAGGTTGATTTGACAATATTACAACCAATAAAAGCCCAGACTGCAGTAAAGAACTTAATTTTAGTTGACTTGAATGACCTCAAGTGTAGAGAATATATCCCCTAATTCAATTGTTGTTGTCAGTTTGAGTTATATCAATTACTGCAGTTATTCTTCATAGGCTCCCTCTTGTGGCTGTTGTAACTGCTGACATTTCTGAATGCTGGAGTTAAAATGTCTCAGGACTAATTACTTTGCCCCAGAAAGCAAAGTCTCAATGCCCAGTCAGGATGCTCATTTATTAATAATTGTTTTCTGTAGGTGTTCTCATATTTCTCAAGGAAACATAGGAATAACTTGAAATCTTACTGTTTTCACTGATAACGTGCACAGAATAAAAGCTTTGGGATTTTTACAGCAGCGGTGCAGTTTTGGGTGTATATTTTTGTGGGGTATATATTTGGGAAATTTTAGAGTTGTCAGTATTTTATTAACACACCTGGCACTCCTAAAGCTTTGTTAAAATAAGGGTAACATCTTAAATATTGTCTTTCACTACAGTGCCTTGAGATAAACGTGATTGCTTTACAAAAATATAAGAAAGTTTGCAAATGAGAGGAGAGCATTTTGCCCATCTTTTTAATTTCTTTCTGGTAGCTAATGAATCTGAGGCCCTTGTCCTTCAAGAGAGTACGGGCTTTGACAGCTGGCTTGTTACATCTCCTACATCCCTTTGTGTAAAGAAATGCCTCCGGTTCTGAGTTTCAAATGCACGTCCACTTCATTTCCAGGTATTCATTATTCTGAAGTCTGGGAGTTAATGGGCAGATTCATTTGTGAATCAAAATGTTGCGCTTAGTAGTTGTTGTTTTTTTGAGTAGGGGGTGGTGGCTGCTGGCCTTCTTCAGCAGATCCCGAATGGGTCCTGCAGTATGTTAAGGATAAAAGGAAAAATACCCAAATTGAGAACACATGAAAACAATTAAAAAATCCAAACTAAACCTAATCAGGAGTCAAATGAAATCTTGAGTTCCGGCTCAGTTTATGTACAAAACCAGATTAACACTGATTGTACCATTTTAACATACTTATTTGTACAGAGAGGCTGTTCTTCAGAACTACCCTTGGAGTTTCAATTCAGATCTGAAGGAGGGAAGCAGAGTTTGCCTGGCTGGGAGGGGACGGGATACTGTGGAGGTTTAAACCCTGGTGTTGGTTTAGTTCCTGGAACTGAAGAGCTGTGGGACCATGCAGCTCACTTTTGTCCACAGTGCTGTGTTTTTTTAAAAAAAAAGTATAATTTCTCTCCTGGAACCTTGCCAGAACTTCCTCAGACTCCTGCTATTCAAATGCTGGAGCGACTTGATTGGGGATTGCTCATTCAGTTTCTCTTTGCACCTGCTCTTAGCTGAAGGCATTACTTAAAATAAGATGTTTATGTCACGCTGCAGTTAACCAGTTATCAGCCACTGGTTAATTGTGGATGGTAGCTTGCCAATTTTAATCATTTTCGACGCTGAGATAAATTTGATCTGTATGCATGTTGTGTCGGTCCCTGTGTCTCCGGTTTTTGGATTTGTCTTTCCAGAAATAATGGGTGTAAATGTTTAAGATCTTTCATGGTTCTCAAAACAGTCCGCTTTTTTTTTTATTTCCAGCTAATAATAGGGAAAAGAACAGGATGAAAACAGTGATAACCAATCCAAAAGTAGGCCTGCAGGACTTTACTTTTATGATTATGTCTTTTATGTTTTAACGTTTTATGAACTTTCTTATATGACATTTTATATATTGGTTATGTCTCCTGTTTTCCTTTTGAATGTCAAAGTTATTATTGTGTTTCCGTCAGAGCAATGTGTGAAGTACAACCAGTGTGTTTTCAGAGGTTCTTTATTCCAGTGCCTTTGAGCACTGTCTGCTGAGTGTTGCAGGTTATAGAACATTATTCACGGATTGCAGTCATTCATCTTTTCAGACTTGAATTGAATTGTAGCTCTGTGAGGGGGCACTGCATACTTGTATAACTGTTGTCTCCAGATATCATGGTGGATTCAGTTTACCAACAACACCTTTTGTGTGCGGTATGGAAAAAAATGTGCTCTGTCCATCAAGTAGTGATGTGAGTCAGGAGCTGAATTACAGGGATTTGGTACTTTTTGTACTTTACTTCTGTGCTTTTCAGTTCTGTTTAGTTCAAATATTATGATGTTTGTATTGCCTTGCATCTCTTAGTTGGAGCTTGTTCTCTGATGAGCTTATGTTATTATGCTGCTGCTTAGGTTTGATTGTACATACAAAACTAATACCACATGTGAACCGGTCTCCTCAAAGACAGAAATTCCTCATAATCCTCTCAGAAGAACAGCTTGGTTTAGAGACAATTTTTTTTGCTTACTGTCTCCACAGAATACTGTATATTCCGTGAGCTGTATTCTAGGATGTATCACAGAGTGCGGAAGTTGAAGAATGTAGGCCAGATAAATGTATTTTTCCTAAACGGAGAGGCGGAGTTGTACATCTTGAACAGAAAACCATATCTGCTTTGGAAGTATGAAGAAAGGATCCTCTTATGCTAGATAATCCTGGCTTTACACTGTGGAATATGTGTGCAGCACAGAGAGAAACTTTCACATTTTACATCTTCATTTACATTGAGGGATCAAAAACTAAAAGAACTGGATAATGCCTTGATGACAGTGAGTGTTTTTGAATCAGGATGAAAGTGAAACTGCTATTCAGAAACAAAATGGTATGGAACATTTTTATTACTATTCTTCCTGCTTATAATTAGGGGGGGGGGGGGTGGAAATCATTTTACTATGTACTGCACAGAAAAAAAAACCCCAGAGCTCAGGTGTCCAGTTACACCTGTTGGCACGTTCTTTATCTGCTACTGTTACCTGATGGCGCCGGTGGTATCATACAGCTTAGACAAGCAGGCAGCTTGGACCTTGGCCCAGCTGAACTGTAGTAACTAATGAACATGATACTGGTGTCTAGGAATCCCAGCTTCTTGCTCCGCAGATTCCCAGGAGGCTGAAAGAAAGCTGTGTTCAGGCCCCGGCTCCTGCTTTATCGTGTTCTCAGCCATTGTTCTGCTAGCTCTCCAGAAACCCAGGGGCAGCCCTGCCTCAGCCTCAGTGAAACCTGCCCTGGGTCTTTCTGTTAATTGAGGCCTCTTTAAGATAATGTTAGATGTGTTGACAGGTCAAACCAAACATTGTGAGGAAAACTTGGTTTGACATCTATTAAATGGCATATGCCTATAAAAGACTGACAGCCCTTCTTCAACCACCAACGATCTTACAGCTGATATGGTTTTCTACGTAAAAAGTTGGGGCCGTTAAATTGAGAGGGTGTTCTGTTTATACCTTGGCTTGGTATAACTTGCGTCCAGAGAAATAAAAGCAGCTCAGACTGTACTGAGTTTAAATGTTTTCAGTTTCTAAGCCTAGTAATTATGAGTGGAGGCTTTCCTCCTTTATTTAATTAATGCTATTTTCTTACCACAGTTTTTTTTTCGTAGTTTTTGTCTCTTCAGAAAAGAATTGAGAACACAGTAATTGTCATGCTCTTGCTTAAGTAGTGGTGTTTTCTTTATTGATAGTTTTAAATGAACTGTTCCACAATTGTTTTTCTGTAACAGGCATTTGCAAATTACAAGAATACATGTCGAGTTTATAGTATTGC